GCCTTTCTTTATAACTCAAACCTTCCATACTCAGCAATATCCTGGTAAATCTCTTCTGAATCCTCTCCAGCTTAATAACATCCTTCCTGTAACTGGGCGACCAGAATTGGACACAGTATTCGAGAAGAGTCCTCACCAATGTCCTGTACAACCTCAACATCAACATGACTTCCCTACTCCTACACTCAAAGGAGTGAGCAATGAAGGCAAGCGTGCTAAATGCCTTCCTAACCACCCTGTCTATATGTGATGCAAACTTCAAAGAATTATGCACCTTAACCCCTAGGTCCCTCTGTTCTACAACACTACCCAAGGCTCCTACCATTGATTGTACTAAAATGCAATACCTCTTTAATGCTTCAGGCTTCCTTGCATTTCTTCATTTTTTTTGCCTTACAGGAACATTACTGAAGTATTTGTGTTTGAGATTATCTGCTAAATATAGTGGGGTGCAGAGGTTAACTGCGGATCTGGAGTTGTAGACTTATAAACACTGATTTACTCTCTGCTGCATACTTACACTGTTTGTGATGAAAGAACAGCATTGGAAAATATCATAAATGAATCTCAACAAACTCAAGGTTATACATAACCCAGAAATTCACTTTAATGAAAAACCAGTCTCACCAAACTTTCCCAACTTGTGAGCAGGACCAACGGACCTGTGCATGCTTAGATTTATAAGGCCTGTAATTGTCATTCTCTGTTCATGTTCAGTTTTAAATTGGAAGTTAGCCCTCAATAGGAACGCATCCAAAATAAAACTGCTTGGCCTGCACATCCATCAACTGCAGCCCATACACAGTAAGAAAAGAGACAATGCTCAATTAGGAGTTATAGCACATTAAAATACCATGCTTTCATTCCTGGCTGATTTCAGATTGAGTAGCAGTAGGGAATGTAACTCTTGGCCCTTTGTACTCCTGGACTAAAGAAGGACATAAGTAAGCAGCCTGTGTTCCCATGCCTGATAGCTGTCCAGTAAGTGTAGTATACAAGTATGACTATCGGAAGCAAAAAGCCGTGCAGTGTCCTGTACTGCTGAATAATCTCATTGCTCACTCATGGGCATGTGGTCAAATTACTGTTTTCAAAAGAGGAGAAGTGGAAAACTGTGAAAAGAAATCTAATTAATGCAAAAGAAAGAAGGATGGCAGTTTTTTTTTGCATGAAGCAAAGCATTTGTTCTTTACGGAAAAATTAAACTCTCTTGTGCAATATGAATAAGTTCTTAAGAGTGCATTAAAATGTAGGAGCATAATTAAGCCGTTTGGCCCACTGAGTCTGCTCTACCATTTGAACATGGTTGATAGATTTCTCAACTGCATTGTCCTGTCTTTTCCCCATAACCTTTGATCCCCTTACTAATCAATAATCTATCTCTGTCTTGAATACACTCAATGACTTGGCCTCCATAGCCTTCTGTGGCAACAAGTTCCATGGATTCACCACCTTCTAGCTGAAAAAATTCTTCCTCAACTCAGTTCTGCAGGGTCATCCCTTCACTCTGAGGCTGTGCCCTCAGGTCCTAGTGTCTCCTACTAGTGAAAACATCTTCTCCACATCCACTCTATCTGGGCCTCTCACAACTCTGTAAGCTTGGTTTCACAATGTTTGCATGAACTTTTGCTGCCTCGATCAAAGTCAATAGCCAATTTTTTTAACCCATTATAAAACTGTTAATGACATGCGTTAAATAAAAATGAAATGGGGGATTAAGACCTTGGTTAAAACATTAAAAATGATATTTTATGTGATCTGTCAACATGTTCATGGCTCATTTTGTAAAGTGCGACATCAAGGCAACTGAGAATAAACAGAGTAGTTGAGTAAATGTGATCAAAGAGACAGCTCTCACACTTGTCAATAACTGCAGCCAACTCTCTGTATTAATCACTAATATTTCAAGAGATTATTTTCTGACTTCACACATGCTTTTTCCAAAACGTACATTAACACTTAGAAAGTCAGGGGGCAGGAGTTCCATTTCTCTGAGAATGCACTGCGTTTGAAAATGACCTCTCATCTAAATCTATTTTCTTCTTCTGCTCATTTCCATTGATGCCAGGTTCTTTTCATTGAAGTGCGTAGATAAAACTTACCTTGCAGAAATAGGACATTCTACTTACCCACTTTCTGCTAGCCCTGATCCTCCATGCAAACTCGTAGTCCCGGTCACATCTTAATTATTTTTGTCACATTCCTTAATTACTCTTTCCATCATTCACTTATCTAACCTTGACTAATTCTTTAGATGGGGGCATTGTTGACAAAGCTAGCATTTATTGCCCATCCTGAGTTGCTCCTGAGAAGGTGGTGGTGAATTGTCGTCATAAAATACTGCCGTCTATGTGGTAAAGCTACATAAGATAATAGAATGGGACCAGGGCATTCATCCCACTGGACTGTAAGTGCATTCAAAGAGACCATGGCTGATAGAGTCATACTGCACGGGAACAGACCCTTCGGTCCAACTCCTCCATGCTGACTAAGTTTCCAAAACTAAACAAGTCCCACTTGTTCTACATCTCCCACCTTTGCCACATATACTTGAATATCTTTGGTTAACAAAAATGTATCGATCTCAAATCATAATTGATTGAAAATCATTAATTGAAGAAATATATTGCAATCTTCTACACACAATAGCTGGGAGAAATGTTTCTTTCTTTTTAAATTCATGCATGGGATGTTGGCAGCAATGTCTAAACCAGCATTTATTGCCCAGTTGAGAGTCAACTACTTTGCTGTGGATCTGGAGTCACATGTAGGCCAAACCAGGTAAGGATGGCAGTTTCTTTCCCTAAAGGACATTAGTGAGCCAGATGCGTTTTTACAACAATCGACAATGAATTCATGGTCATCATCAGACTCTTAATTCCATATTTTTTAAAAAATTGAATTCAAATTCCACCAGCCATGGTGAGTTTCAAAGCTGGGTCCCCAGAACATTACCAGAGTCTCTGGATTAACAGTCCAGTGATAATACTACTAGGCCATCACCTCCCCTTAATTTCACTCTCAAAAAGGCTGGTTCCCATTTTTAGACTATCCTCTCTAGTCCTAGACTCCAAATAATTTCATTTTCTATCCACCCTATCCGTTCCTTGATTTTAATCAACTCTAAATTCGAGAGATTACAATCAACGTTTTTATAAACCCCTCATCAATTCGCCTGCAGTTATCACTGTGGTAAATCTACACTGTACTCTGAGGCATAGCCATGGAGAAAACAATGGGGAGATAGTGGTTCCCTAAGCTCCTGGGTAATTTCAAAAAAAGGTGCTGCTTGATCATATTCCTTTTACTTGCAGACAGTGGGTATCTGTGGCAACATCTCAGCTAATCAGAACCAACTTGCCAACAAGTTGGCACACTTTTCTCCAATAGCGCAGACTATTGAAATCTGACTTTATTGTGTTTGTTCTGATGAGTGCAACACAAAATGTTTCAGCAACATTTCTCTCTTTTCAGTTAACATTCAGGTTCTACTCTAGCAAGAAACTGCTTGAAATTCATTCTCCATTTTTGCCCATTCACTTAATCCATCAATTGCTCCTTGTAATTTTACACTACCATCTAGATCACTTACAATGGGTGGAAACTCCCCAACTTTAACATTTTCAGATCTCTGGACTATTTCCATGTCTTGACCCAACTCACTTCTGCAGTACACCTGCTGGTACTATGTGACAGAGGCCACACTTCAAATTAGCAGGCCACTCCGCGCTTCTGGTCTAATGGCTGGTGGGTTTTTAGTGAATGAGAGAAATCAGACAACCTGCAGCACTGAAATAGACTCCGCCTCACCAGATGAAGTCAGCGCTGCTGAGGTAGTTCGGTGAGTGTGAGGGTACCTCAAAATGGAGGCAAGTCTTGGCAGCCTGCTGAAAATTTTAAGACAGAGAAGGCCCACAATTGTGAGGGCCATTGGTGTGGCAATGACTGTGCACTTTCCATTAGGCAGAGTGACGTGATTGGGAGACTGGGGAGACTCTGCTGGCAACTTTTGACACTTGTTGCACTCTGCAAATCTCTATTTCTCTTTAAAGGGTCACGATTTGTATGGGGTTCCTGTTTTCAGTAAAGTACAATTGGCCAACACAGTGGGAATTCAGTATGACTTCAACATAAACTACATTAGGGCAGGTTAAGTGGTAAGGAGCTGTAGACAGTTCCTTCTCATAATATCCCACAGGATACAACAATGAAAATTCCAGAAGAATTTTTATTTTAAATAGTTATGTAGCGATTTCCAAAGCAACATCTGGCTATTTCTTAAAACATGGAAGAATTAAATTCTATAATCTTCCAAGAATTCTATACCTTCTATATTAACCATCCTATGGAGTGCAGTGGGAACAGATGCTTTCTTTTTGATCAATTTTATGTTGAAGAAGAGGAGGGATATCAGCAGACTGGGGACCAGGAAGTTTATCCATGTTAGGCATTTAAGGTACAGCTATTAAATCTACCCAATCTGCCTTAATTCTTATTAGAGATATCTCTCCTTTTTTAATCTGAGTGTCTCTCATTTCAACTGTCCCAGTCTAGTCAGGCTCCTGCTGTCTCTAGTGAAAACGCTTGTGATGTGACTTGGGTCCAATTTCAAATCATACATGAATCTTCCATGTTTCCAAGGGAAATTAGGGAAGAGCAATAAATCCCAAGAATGAATTTAAAAAAATAAAGCACTCGTTGTTATCGGCGGGGGAGGTTTTAGTCCCTGACACCGAGCTAGATTTGTGTGGCTGAGCACAGGTGGAACGAGAGTGAGGACATCAATAAATAAATGAACTGGGATGCTTCTCCTGCCCCATGCTCACATGTTGGACACTGTTGCCGGGATATTTCTCATGGATGCGTTTGAGCAGCTCCCTAAGTTCAGCAGAAGCTTGCAGGATACCCTATTTATATTGTCTACCTGGGGTTTCGTTGCTCTTCTGTAGATGTTACTGCAGCTGAATGCAGAGGGTCCCCGAAGGGAGGTAAGTGGGTGATTGGGTTAGACTCTTGAAGAATGTGGGGGAGCCATCAGAGGGCAAGCGCCAGGAAATTCCTGGCCCCGTACTTGAAAAACAATCTTTGTCACTCTCGCTAAAGTTGGCAATGTAAACACAACAACAATCCATGACAAACACAGTTACAGAACGTATATCTTAGTCCTTCCTGACTCCCACCTTAAATATCTGTCTCTTTCAGTCCGAAACAGTCAGTGACTTCGTATATTTGATAAGCGGTGTTCTCTTTGAATTCCTGGCATACTCCAATGGAGATGGACTCCACTGGGACATTGTCTACCTTACTGGCAGCTGACGTGCAGGGCCTGTGCTGTCCCATTCGGATTTTGTTGGAGAGGTTGTTCATTTTCTCACGGAGTTGGAAGGGCGATTTGGACAAGGACGGGAAGAATTTCCAGCCATGAAGACTGAGTGTCCGACTGGCACCACTGTCTCCGCTGATGTCCTCGCTGGTGCTGCTCCCTCGGTGCCTTTGGCTCAGCGCGAAGGAACTGCTCACTGACAATGTCCTGCAACTCCCAATGGACCTGCTCAGCACATCAGCCTCGGAGCTGCGCTCCGAACTGTAGGTAGAGGACCTCCAGTAACGGTGTGCGTACACCCGCCAGGGTGGTCGTCGCCTCCTCCGGCACTGGCACTTGAGCAGCCTGATGAAGGCCCGTTTGAACTCTTTGCTCGAGCATGGGTAGATAATGGGATTGATGCAGCTGTTGAAATAACCCAGCCAGAAGATCACCTTAAAAACCACATCAGAGGGCTTGATAGATGGAAAGAAAGCACCTGAAACACAGTTTAAAAAAAAACCTGATGAACTACTCTCTCTTCATTGCATTTACAGAACAGAAATTGGCTATTTGGCCCCATCTGGTCAAACCCAGCACTAGGCTACGCCTCAGCCTCCTCCCATTCAACTTCACCCACTGAAGCACAGAAGGTTGAGAGGTGACCTTACAGAGGTTTACAAAATGATGAGGTGTATAGATAAGGTGAATGACATGTGTCTTTTCCTTTAGATGTGGGGATTTCAAGACTAGGTGGCATATTTTTAAGGTGAGAGGAGAAAGATTTAAAAAAAATATGAGGGGCGACTGTTTTACACAGAGAGTGGTTCGCGTGTGGAATGAGCTTTCAGAGGAAGTGGTGGATATGGGCACAGTTACAACTTTTAGAAGACATTCGGATAAGTACTTGAATTAAAAATGTTTGCAGGGACATGGGTCAAGCACAGGCAGATGGGATTAGTTTAGTTTGGGATTACGGTCGGCATGTACTAGTTGGAATGAAGGGTCTGTTTTTGCACTGTAGGACTCAGTGGCTTTATCTAATTTGATTTTTCCATGAAGTCAAAACACCTTCCCTACGTCTATACAGGTGCATTTACAAGTTCTACCAGAAGCTGCTTGTAAAGGATAAGTAATAAGCTCTTTTGAATGATTGAGTTTCAAATCTGATTTCAATTTCTAAGATGTTATTTATCCAATTATTCAGATGCGACATTAATTTAATTCACATTCCATTTCAATAGAAAAAGAAAAGAAAAAAATTTGCCTTTACGCAGTGCTTTCAGCCTCAATTCAAAACATTTCTCATTTGGTTAATTACCTCCTTCTCAATGCATATGACTGCAAATAAAGTGTGTGCCTAAGGCTATTTAAGAGAGACAAACTCAGTGTCAGAAAGTTGTACTCAAGGAGGAAGCTGGAATTAAATAACAACTCAATCAGGCAAGAATTTGAAATGCCCAGTGGGAGCTAGTGGTTAGGGAGGGAGTTTGTGGGTGACAGTGTGCATCTAACAGTGACACAGTGGCTCAGCAATTAGCACTGCTGCCTGACAGTACCAGGGATCTGGGTTTGGATCCACCCTCAGGTGACTGTCTGTGTTGAGCTTGAGGGAGTGCAGTGAAGGTTTACCAGGCTGATTCCGGGAATGGCAGGACTGAGGTCTGAGGAGAGATTGACTAGATTGGGATTGTTTTGTGCTTGGAGTTCAGACGAATGAGGGGGGATCTCGTAGAAACTTATAAAATCATGACAGGATAGATGCAGGGAGGATGTTCCCAATGGTGGGTGTGGCAAGAACCGGGGTCACAGTATGAGGATTCGGGGTAGACCATTTAGGACAGAGATGAGGAGACATTTCTTCACCTAAAGAGTGGTGAACCTGTGGAATTCATTACCACAGGAAGTAGTTGATGCCAAGACATTGAATGTATTTAACAGGCAGCTAAATATAGCACTTGGAGCGAATGGGATCAAAGGTAATGGGGAGAAAGCAGGATTAGCCATGATTGTGATGAACAGCAGAGCAGGCTCGAAGTGCTGAATAGCCTCCTCCTGCTCCTATCTTCCATGTTGCTGTGTGGTTTGCTCTGGGTGCCCTGGTTTCCACCCGCAGTGCAAAGACGTGCAGGCTAAGGTGGATTGGCCATGCTAAATTGGCCACAGTGTGCAGGTTAGGTGGATTAGCCACAGGAAATGCAGGGATACAGGGATGGGCTGGGTCTGGGTGGAATGCTCTTCAGAGTGTCACTGTGGGCTCAATGTGCTAAATGGCCTGCTGCCATACTGTAGGGATTCTATGTGACATCCAATCAGTTTTATTCCTTGAGTCACATTCGCATCCAGCCAACAGCTGTCCATCGGAATTCTGATTGTTGCAGCTGCCCATGACTAATGTTGACATAAAGTGGCTCTCCAGGGTTTTTTTTAGCTTACATAAGGCAACTGAAAGGGAATTTTCAGCTTATTTAGCAGACTTTCACAGTCAGACTTGTGGTCTCCAAACAGTTATCAGATAAGATAATGAAAGGTCCTGTGAGAATCATAATAGGGTCCCAGTGAGAAAAGACAGCGGAATTTAACTAGATTTATGTAAAAAGACAGATCTAAACACAAATATTTTTGATATGGAGCATTCTTGAAAAACCTAGATAAGAGATACCTGGGCACTAACCACAACCCCAAGTTTACTATTTAGTAAAATGTAGAAGGAAGAGTCTGATCCCACAGTATTCTGAACTTTTCAGGTAACTGTAAATTAAAATGCAACCTACAAACAAACATTAAGAGATGTAACTGAATTTCTTTGATCAGATAGCTGTAGGCAGTAAAGAAAATTTCTGCTCTGTAAACCAGAACAGTACCAACAAATGGTGTAAACAGATAATCTCTAAGAGAGTGCCAAGACACAGCATGGTAGGTGGTATAAGGGGGTTGTAAAACATGGCCAGTGTGACTTCAAGAAAATAAACAATTGCAGCTTTACAGCTCAGCAAACAGCCTTGTGGATCTGTCGATAATTTAAGCAGATCCTTGCATCCAAAGATCAAGGGGAGAATGACAGAGACCAATTATAAGGTAATGGTGGGACTGAGGTTGTGTCCTGTTGTACCTTGAGGATTCAAATAATTTTCTTTTACTGACTTGATAAAGCTGTGAAAGTGACTGAATTGCATCCTTATCAATGGAATTTGAATAGATGCTATTAAGGAAAGAAAAATAGTGTGAAAATTATTTAAATAGAGACAGTAAGGTTCATCCAGGAATCAAACTTCTGTTTAAAACCAATTTACAGAATGCGAATAGCAGAAGTCGTACCCTTCAGCTCCGAGAGAGAGAGAGCTGTTCCTCAACTTGTCAGCTTTGTCAAAGAATTATAAAGAGGTATGACTATATAACTTTATATAGAACTTACAGATTTTAGAACAACTGGTAGAGAGATAAAGATAAAAACCAAAAGAACTACGGATGCTGTAAATCAGGAACAAAAACAAAGTTGCTGGAAAAGCTCAGCAGGTCTGGCAGCATCTGTGAAGGAGAAAACAGAGTTAACGTTTCGGGTCCGGTGACCCTTCCTCAGAACTGGCGATAAAGATGTCTGGTAAACATCATGAAATCATGGGAAGACCTAACGCTGTCCAGAGAGTGGTCTATCATTGATAGTGTGATAACAGGATTGGATGTGTAGATTAGGGCTAACAATGACATTAATGTTGCATGTAATTATTGTGACGTGGAATGTATAAAATGCTGCACTTGACTGGGGGAGGCAGAATGACTGGTGGAATCTGTTTCCAAGGATGTCTCCTAAGATGCCTTAGTAAACAGCTCTGAATAAAGGTTGACGTGTACTGCTAAACACAGGACTCAAGACTCCTCTTTGATATCTCTCACGGCCAATAGGATCAGAGATGTACCTAAATAAAAATTGAAAGAACTGCGGATGCTGCAGGAACAAAAACAGAAATTGCTGGCAAAGCTCAGCAGGTCTGGTCGCATCTGTGAAGAAAAAAATCAGAGTTAATGTTTCACATCTGGTGACCCTTCCTCAGAACTGATGGTAGCTGGGAAAACATCAGCTTACATGCAGAAAATAGGGAGGGGGATGGGGTAGGGAGTAAACGATTGGATAAAGGATAGAGCCCGAAGACAGCGAAGTGCGGTTGGATAGACAAAGGAGTTGATAATGACCAGGCTGGGAGGGTGAATAGTTGTTAATGAGAACTGTTAGTGACTAACAACAGGTAGTGTGTAATGGTAGGCCATGTGATGTGTGGGGTAGAGGGCTGGGACATGGGACAGTTTAGGCTCTAAAATTATTGAACTCGATATTGAATCCGGAGGGCTGCAGGGTCCCCAAATGGAAAATGAGGTGTTGTTCCTCCAGTTTGTGCTGAGTTTCGCAGGAACACTGCAGCAAGCCTGAGGCAGAGATGTTGGCCAGGGAAGAGTCCTATTCCAGCCCCACCCACTTTCTTCGATATATTGAGGATATCGTTGGTGCTGTTTTCCTGTCACATTCAGAATTGGAAAAGTTCATCAATTTCACTTCCAATTTCCATCCTGCCTCACTTTCATCTGGTCTATCTCTGACTCCTCCATTCCCTTCCTCGACATCTCTGTATCCATTTTGGGGGACAGACTGGCCACTAATATCACTGTAAACCCACTGACTCCCACAGTTACCTGGACTATACATCCTCACACCCTGCTTCCTGTAAAGACTCCATCCCATTCTCTCAGTTCCCCTGTCTCTGTTGCATATGTTCAGATGAGGCCAATTTCATCAGGGGAGCCTCCAAAATGTCCACCTTCTTCCTCAACCAAGGATTCCCCAGCTCCGTTGTCGACAGGGCCCTCAACCATGTCTGACCCATCTCCCGCACTTCTGCCCTCACCCCCTCTCTTCCCTCCCGCCACAGCAATAGGGTTCCCCTTGTCCTTAGCTACCATCCCACCAGCATCCACATCCAGAAGATCATCAGATGCCATTTCCGCCACCTCCAGCAAGATGCCACCACTAGATACATATTCTCCTCCCCTCCCTTGTCTGCCTTCTGGAGGGAGGTTCCCTTCAGTACACTCTGGTCCACTCTTCCTTCACTCCCCACAGCCCCACAGCACCTTCCCCTGTAACTGGTGATGATGTAACACCTGCCCATTTACCTCCTCCCTCCCCAGTATCCAAGGGCCCAAACATACCTTCCAGGTGAAGCAACACTTTACCTGCACTTCCCAGAATCTAGTCTACTGCGTTTGCTGCTCATAACATGGTCTCCTCTACACTGGGGAAACGAAGCGTAGACTGGGTGACCGCTTTGCAGAACATCTACATTCTACTTGCAAAAAAGACCCTGAGCTTCCAGTTGCCTGTCACTTTAACACACCACCCTGTTCCCTGGCCAACATCTCTGCCTCTGGCTTGCAACAACACCTTATTTTCCACTTGGGGACCCTGCAACCCTCCAGACCCAATGTCAAGCTCAATAATTTTACCGC